GGATTCGATTGGCTAAGATTTTGTTGAGGATTTTTGCATCTATATTCATAAGGGATATTGGTCTGTAGTTTTCTTTTTTTGTTGCATCCTTTCCTGGTTTTGGTATCAGGGTTATGTTTGCTTCATAAAATGTGGTAGGGATTATTCCATCCTTCTCGATGTTGTGGAATAATTTCTGCAAGATAGGCACCAGTTCTTCTTTGTAGGTGTGATAGAATTCGGGTGTAAAACCATCTGGTCCAGGACTTTTCTTTTTAGGAAGGTTTTTTATTGCTGTTTCAATTTCAGTACTTGATATTGGTCTGTTCAAGAATCCTATTTCTTCCTGGTTGAGCCTAGGGAGGCTGTCTGTTTCTAAGAACACCTCTTGTATATTCCTGGATAGAGCTGAAACCCATTCTACTAAGTAAAGTATCTCAAGAATGGAAAAACAAGCACCACATGTACTCACCAGCAAATTGGTATTAACGGATCAACACCTAAGTGGACATATAGGAGTGACATTTATCGGGTGTCAGGAGGGTGGGAGGGGACGGGGGAGGGGTATATACAACCACAACGAGTAAGATGTGCAACATTTGGGGGATGGACATGCTTAAAGCTCTTACTCGAGGGGGCAGGGGGGCATGAGCAATATATGTAACCTTAACACTTGTACCCCCATAATATGCTAAAATCAAATGAAAAAAGAAAAAGAAAGAAAACAACACCTTCCTAGATCTGCCTTTTTAAACTAGACCTCAACTCTTGTACTCTGAACATGGGGATGGTCTTAAGTCTCCAGGGACTGTAGTGGCCCAGGTAAGGACAAGCTGAAGAGCTGAGAACATGAGCCCGGCTCTGGCAAGGAGCGCCCCCCATGCACACCCCCAGCCCAGGGAGGCCTGATGGGTGAGGAACTCTAGATAGCTAGGAGGACTTGAACCTGGGAACACTCTGGGCATCTCCCTAGGGAGAGGACAGGAGGTGTCCCCTTAACACAGAAGGAATTACAAACAGACCTCCGCCCTCAATGCGTTACTTCACCCACTGGGTGGCTGCAGTGATGCTGTCTGTCTTGGTGATCCAGAGTCACTGTCTCCAGCTGGTGTGATGTCTGAGGCCTCAGCTGCTTGGCCGCCTTCTCTGTCCTACACGCAGCCAGCACCCTCATGCCGCACATGTCCAGCTGTCTGGCCAGCAGGTTCCTAAAGCCAGAGCCACAACCCGGGTTGAAGTTTACTGGTCTTAGAGGTGGCTCACCACCTGCCTTTCCCAGTGCCAGTGCAGAAGGTAGTACAGGCCCACAAGGGCCACAGGATATAGCCACATGGCTTTGGGCGGACAGACAGAGATAGGCTGGATAAAAGGAGAGTGTTCAGACAGGAGAACTTAAGAACGCATAGGCTGTGGTAGGCACGTGAGCCTCCCAGCGCTCTGCAAAGGAGTCCTCAAATTTCTTCCTGCTGATCTACTCATGTCATTTTAAACAGATGCCATTGGATTTCCAAAGAA